TCTTCCAATGTCCACAGACCATTACTTTTGATTCAATGAACTTGAATAATTCACAAATATTTTATTGTGCTGCCCATTCTTTGTTATCTGGCTCTCAATTTCCTTGTTATCCAATTTTTTTGTAAGTCTGATGAAACAACTACTTCACTGAGCAGTTCTTGGATATCTTCAGAAGAGTATAGAGTTAAGTTGCTCTTTGGAAACCTTTGGTTAATATATGTATATTTACCCATGCGTATTCTGCACATTACAGAATCATCCACTCAGTTTAAGTTCAGTCTGAGTATTTTATTCTTTTTCTTCTCCATTATCATCTTGATCTTTTGTAACTGAAACAAAGACTTACTTACTTACCATGATGAAGACAGCCAAAGCTTATGAGATTTATACAAGTCAGGGCTGGCCTAAATTGCCCTGATTATTTAAAGGCATATTCAATAATTGAGTCTAGTCTTCTGTTTAATTAAACTGATTGCCCTATGGGGGTTGATTACTTTTCATACTTGCACATTGCATGTTAGATGACATAAGGAAAAGCACTCTGCCATGGCAGATGTTGCTGACAGTCATGGTGAAGGGACTTTATCCTCCTGGCTTGCCACGCAGTGTGGGTTCCAGTGTCTGCCCCCGCCAGGGCACTGTAGTTGTCGCCATTTGGCCAATGGGCAGCCAATGCCCAGCTAAGCCACCACCCCACTAGCCACTGTCCTCTCTTCTGCATGTTAGACAGAGAAGGAACTGAGAAACATGGTGTCCTGGGGCTGCTGTTGTTGCCATTCCTTCTCCCATCCCATTTGCTACCTGCTTTGCTTGAAGAATGAGAGGTAGTAGAGGATGGGGATTATTTGAGAGTATAAACAGGCATGTAGATAGAGGTGATCCAGTTGACACTGTATATTTAGATCTTCAAACAGCTTTTGTCACCAAAAATTCTTGAATAGTTATGGATCACAGGTCCTCTTATGGTTAGGTAACTGATTAAAAGGCAGAAACGAAGGATAGGAATAAATGGACACCTAAGATATTAGTTGTAGAAAGACTCTCGTGATGATGGATCTTTTGTTTTTCTGTTTCTTGCTGTAGCATAAATGGGGACAATTGCTATAGCAGTTTGGTATAAGGCAAAGGGCAGAAAGCAATGAAAATAGTATCTGAAAAATAAAAGCAATTTCTCTTTCTCTGCCAAGGAGAGTCTTTCTCCCTCTCTCTCTCTAAAAAGGAAGAGTTTCATTCTTTAAAAATGAAAATACTAAGTATTTTGATTTTATTATTTATTTACTCCTTGAGTCACCAAACTCTAGGTGACTCCCACAGAAAAAACAGTAAAACCATAACAACAACCAATAATATAAAAGATCAAACACAAAATGCCATAGGTAGTATGTTGCTATGCACAGTTATAACTTTGCCATACCACATGCCCTATGGAAAAGAACTGTTTTCACTGTTCCTTTAAGGAAATCAAGGTAAGGGGCAAAATTCACTTGGACAGACAAGCTGTCATTTGAATCCCCTCCCCAGTAATATCCCAGGGGTTAAGTATCCAGAGCAACCCCTCCCTACTAGACCACTTAAGAAAGGTAGATTCTAGCTGGAGAAAATGGTCCCAGAGGAATCATTGTGTACGGTTTTATACAGTAGGTAATGACCTTGAACTGGGGCTGGATGTCTACCAGCAACCAGTTCAGCTCCTGAAGGATACTATTATTTTACTAAACTGTGTGACACAGGTCACCAAATGGGCAAATGGATCCTTCAGTAGCAGCCTCAGTTTCTGGGTTGTCTTCAAGACAAATTGCAGTAGTCTGTTACATCCAATGTGTTTCAGTTAGATACAGCTTTAATTTTTAGTTCAGGTTTTGTGAACTAAATATGAAGTAAATAGTTTTAATATCTCTTCTCGCAGAAAGAGATGGAAATGTTAATCTAGGGTTGTGTGTACAGAGAAGGCTTCAAACCACTGCTGTGGCAATGGACATGGACATTCCTTAAACTCACCCTGATTATGAGATCAACCTCTGCATTAGGATTATTCAACCTGCATTTCTATACATATTTCATCTAGCAATAAGTCCAGTTGAAAACAATTGGACTTAAGTCTAAATACAAAGAACTGCTCTGTAAGATGCCTTTGGAATTTTATAAATGGTCTCCTTTTCTTTCTAAAGGTACTATAGGGTACTTGTGATATTAATTTTCAGAAAGGACAAAAAACCAGAATATAGAGATAGAAAGATATATGCATGTGTAAAGAGTCCTATGTGTATTTGTGGGATTTTATGTACAGTTGTCTTATATTTCTATTCTGACAGTTAATTCTTATGGTAAACAACACACATGGTTCACAAAGATAGTATTATTTACCATTTAACCTTCCCATTTATACCTGTGGCAGTCATCACAATATTGATGACAGTATTTAGTCATCATCATAAGTATTCCCATTAAAAAAATGTACAGGCACCCTCATTCAATTTCATGAATTTAAAGTAAGGATTCATTTATTTGCAGCCTTAGAAAGTTCCAGTTTGTTAAAGGCTGAGGCTTCTTTTCTCTCAGAAAAATCAATGTTTCTCTCACCAATGGATTTATCTGCATATCTAAGCATCTCCTGAAAATGCCAATAAAAGCAGCAGATAATATTCAAATGCATTCTCCTCTACAGAACTATCAGTCATATCACTATACAGCAGTAGGTCACAGCTACAGCAATGTGACTTTATAAAAATGAAGTATTAAAAAGTTTTATTCTTAATTTAAAGGCAGAAGCTGCAGAAACAAAACAAGAATAGAACTTTTCTTATATAACACAGACCCTATCATAAATGTGCCTTGAATCCAGTCTGCTAAATAATATTTCTTTAATATGGGATTCTTTATAGCACTTTAAAACATTCTTTCTATTATGATATTTTATTGGAATAAATTATAATGTTAATGTTATTTTTTTAAAGAGAGATTTAGGATTTGCCAATATTTGAACTAATTTTAAATCACAAGAACAACTGTAAATCTTAGTGGAAATTTTTGAACGTAATGGAAATTTTGGAATTATTTCTTTAATTGAATGCAAAAAGAATTCTCAGATAAATTCTTAACAATCTGCTACATGGAGACTTTCTTCAAAAATTAATTTTTCTACTTTCTCCATTTTTGCTTAACAGCTATACAAAATGACTGGGAGCTTGGGAGGAGAAGCCACCAGGTATCGATGTGTTTTTCAGCAGATGCCAGCACAGCATTCTCAGCTCATTAACAGTGTTCTGGTAGCTGTAGCCGACTTTTTGTTTTATTTATATTTACATTAGGGCTGTGCAGAGATTTGGATTTGAAGGGCAAAATGCCATTTGGATTGCCTATGGGTGGGCCTTCTGCACCTGTCTGGAACAGCTTATACCAAATGCATCTTTTCTTGGGATCACACATCTGTTGCAGAAGCAGCTGTAATGGGACCCAAAAGGAGCTGCGTATGTGCCTACGTGTGCCCTGAAACACATCTTGCCCTTCAGATCCAAATTTCTGCAGAGCTCTAATTTATGTCTTACTTGTCATCCAGTAAACATACAATACAGTAAAGCTTTATTCTGCACATCATCACTACCATCGTTAGCAGCAGCAGCAGCAATTGATAAAAACTGCATTTTAATGTATGCTATAAGAATTGAGGTTAAATTATACAGTGGAATTAATCAACAGAAGAGCTACCTAAAAGAAGAAATTACTTAATTCCTGAAGCCTTTCATCTGACCTTCTCTTGGAAGGACTCTTGAAATCCAGGTAACATCATGTTATTTTAATCAACTTTCTTAATTCATTCCTTATTGCCCTTTTTAGGACCTGGCTACTCTCAGTCATTATTTTGTAGTCTAAATGGCCTATTATGGCAGTACACTGTTGACAAAAATGGAGGCAGAAAAAGTAACATAGCTTATTAATGAAATGCTGGAAAAGGGATGGTGCAGAAGTACAACAGCAAAACATTTTGAGTGAATGGATATGCAGTTTTCTAATGCACTTCCTCTGTCCTTGATTCAGATTATTTTATCAGCCAAAGCCAGATAATGGTTGAAGTCAGTTCCCAATCTGATAGAAATACATTTGATGGTACAATTTCGTCCTAATTCAGCCTCAACTATGACTTATGTTTTTAGAGTTAATGCTATGCATTTACATAGTGGCTCTCGTCCCAGAAATTTCTAAGTGCTTAAGCAAACATAATAGTAATTACTTCTGAGAGGTAGGCAAGTATTTGCATTTTACAGTTAAGTAAATTCAAGCATAGCCTTCATTTATGAAAGGATTCAGCTGTTCTCAGTTGGGGTGGTTACAAGTAAGGACAATGATGGTAAGTGGGAATCTCCATGCTATGTTTAAGCATGTGCACAGTTCTAAAGTGAGACCTATGGCTAGGATCCAGCAAAAAATCTTGCTCATTTTGGCAGAATAGATACTGACAACATATAATGAGCTGCAACTGATATTTCTGAAAGCCTGAGATGAGCTCAGCTCAGCCTTCTCCAGCCTAGAGCCTGTAAGATACAGTATGTTGGAACCACAGGACCATGCTGGTTGGAAGCTGTGGTCCCAAAACATCTGGAGAGAGACAGTCAGAGAAGGATGCAACATTTTAAGTGGCGGCAACAATCACTGCCCAGAAAACTTTAAGCTTAATAGGTTAATAGAGGTAGATGTATATCAAGACAAAGAGGTTAACCTAATTAGAAAATATCATCCTCTGCATATTTTAATTCTATTCTTCTAACATAACCTTCACCAGCTTACTTGCATCAACAGGGATGCATCATTGACTATCAGCTTGAGGAAGGAGTTTGGCGTGTGACGATGAAGTGCAATAGGAAAGATTTATTCTGTAGTCATGAATTCTGAGAGGTAAGAAATCATTACATGTTCTCTCAAAGCCTCCTCCAAATGTCAGAGCTAATTTGTTTGGATGGATAAATATCTAGAGAAAGAAAGAGTAATAAAAAATTCAAGCTCACCTGGCCCCCAAAGGGTGATGCACTGCTGTTCATGAGTCTGGCACATACCATTATAGCAATACCCATCTACCCCATAACAAGGGTGCCCATCATGCAAGTAAACATTGGCTGGGCAATGAGGATTGCTTCCAGTACAGAATTCAGGAAGATCACAGGAATTACTGGTACCCCTGCATAAAATCCCTGCTGGCTTCAGCTGTAGGAAGAAAGAAGGGACTGCAGTTTCAAAGAACGAAATGTATCATATAGTGGCTTTTGTGCTACAGGCTAAAGTTGTCATTCTCTCTTCCTAAGACTCTGTACCAAGCATCTATTAAACACAGCATGGGAAGCGAAAGAGCACTTTATATGCCTCTCTATACTGCAGAACTGTTTATGGCTTACTTTCAAAGGCCTACCTTCATTCCTCATTAAAATGCAAGTACAATGCTTTGATGTTCTGCATCACACAGAAATACACATCTTAAACCTCAAAGAACTCTGCCGTGGTAGGCATACACATATAGGACTCCATTTATTAATACTAGCAGCAAAGGGTATTAAAAAAACACACACTGTCTTATGGGAGAAGATATGCTGGCTCCTTTTTTTAAAAATAGTCTCCTCAAGAACTTTTTCATCATTACAAGACAGGAGCACAAAGAATTCTATTGAAAACACATCCACACCCCAGCCTTGAATATCTGAACTGACATGAACATTATTATGGAATCCTGCCCATCCCATATTAGGAAGATAAAACATTCACCTTGCAGTCTTCACAGCAAAGTCCATGGGCACACACTGCTCCTGGCCTTAAAGTACAAGTTGTGGCATTACAGCATTGGCTTGTACATTCCTAAAAGAAGAAAACAATCATACTGTAGTGTTCCATCAAACAGTCAAGTCTGTATAGAGGTAGACTCAATGTATAAGATGACTTGATTCTCAGGGCAGGACTAAAGAAAGTTCAGGCTTAGTGCTAGACTATATTGTGAAGTTCCATAAATTTCAGGACTGTCCTTGCCTCATCTTATTTTCTCTTTCCTGAAATGTCCTATCAATGATATCCTACCAAAAGATCCTATTCCTAAGGGTCAGCGTGGTATAGTAGCTAGGACTGGTACAGGAAAGACCCAGATCCAAGTCCATCTTTAGCCATGGAAGGTCAGTGGCTAATTTTGGACCAACTTTCTCTCTCAGCTGTAGACCTCACAGTGGAACATCTGCTACGTACACCTCCTTGAGCTTCTATATGAAAGTTAGGCTCTAAATCTACCAAAAAGAAAAAAATAAAGCATTCCTAACATATCTTTATCCAAGCTTTTGAGAAACAATACCATGAACAGACATTGGAAATGCTTGGAGGTGTTGGTGGACTCTCAATATGGTGGGAATTTCACTGTACCACTAGTTCTATGAACCAGCACATGTTATTGAGACTATCCAAGCAGCTCCCACTATTTGTGCAACTATAATTCTTGTTTTGCAAATGGTCACAATCACACAAAGGGCAGAGAGCCAATGAGAGCCAATAAGGGCCAATAAACAGAGGAGTTATTTCTACACAAATCCACTGTATTATAAGCAGGTTGAAATACTATCTTCTTTCGTAAGAGCCTTTTAAAAGTATTAACCAAGGCAATATTTCTGCCACCCTTCTCTAACTCTATAAATCCACCTTAACTAATGTTTATGAGGCTGAGATAATTTAACCTAATACAAATTATTGTTCTTTGTTTACTGGCAACTCATCTACTACCTTTATTTCCTATAATCCTTTTAATATTTTGAAACACTTACTATGAAGCTGTTGTTTTTTTAAAATCTGAGTTAAGCACATTATATTAATTTATAATTTATTTGAACTAGTTCTGTTCCTATTCTGAACACTTCAGGTATATATATACGTATGTATGTATGTATGTATGTATGTATGTATGTATGTATGTATGTATATATTCCCCTTCAGATAAAAAATTAAACTTCAATATGCTTAGGCTACAATGTATCTTCCTAACACCAAGGTTTTTTTTTTTTTTCCAGTGAGAACTAGATCTTCTCTTCTAGAACTTTATCACTATTCTTGTTCTCCCTGAATTGTTTCCCATTTATCTTGTACTGATCAGAAGTGACATAGTACTTAAATGTGATCTAATCTCTGGGCTGAGCAGAGTCATACTATTGGTTCATGAGTCTTGGAAATGATGCTGTTGTTAATGCAACTTGAAAAGACATTACCTTTCTTGCACAGTAACATATTGTTAGGTTTGTAATCTGTTCTAACCTTCACATCCTTAGAAATACTGCTTACTTAATATTATCTTCTCATCTTCATTTTGCTCTTTGTGTACAATATAATGCCATCTGTTAAAATGCATTGTGAAGTTTTCTATAAAAATATTAGCTACCCATTTCCAAAGCTCTTACAGTCCAAAATGATATTTTTGATGTACTACCATTCCTATCTCTCACTGTAGAATTTTATTTTCTTAGTATATTTTTCACTTACCCCATATATTTTCCTATTAGTTCTTTGGTTAAACAGAAGAGATCTGCTGTTTTGTCTTAACTGAAGATAAATGGAAACATACTATTCAAATATCTCAAATGAAACAGAGAATGGCAATTGGTTTAGATTAAGGATTGGCAGAATCACCTTTTTCCCTTCCATTGAGATTTTGAAGAAGCATAACAAATTCCTTCTGCTCTGCCCAATTTCTGGAGTGGGTAATATAATCTGAAACAGCTTTTATAATTCCACGAACAAACTACCATTTGGGTGGCATCTGAGATTCAGAAGAGAGTGGGTAGTTCTACCTTATTGCTGTTACTTACACCTTCCTCCCTACACAGACATTCATATGTGACAATTTTGAGAGGTGGAGAGAGTTGTAATATGCAATTAATTTACTTCTAGTTTTCTTATCATGAGGATACTTTTCTTCAGACCTCATCTATGGCATCACTACAAGGGCCATCTGTCTCATTGCAGGGGAGAAGAAGATAGCCAAGCAGTCTCTTTGCTAAGATAGTCAGGTAGTTAGCAACCAGTGATGCACAGGTTGGGTTCACCACACACTGAAGTCTTAGTTCAAATTAACAAAACACACAATTGTTGTGTTAAAAAACCCACACATTTTATCCAAATAAAGAAACCTTATAAGTAATGGCTTGAATAACAGAACATACTATATAATGATTAGTTCTTACAACACACCAAACCAGAAGCTTATTTTAGTCTAATTTAATATGTTGTGCGATATGGCTCTGGATTAAAAAGAAAAAAAAGTGCTTTGGAGTATGCGAGGGCTCTCATGGAACATCTATCTGCAACTCTTTAAAGCAGCTGCATGTTTTCGCAGGATTGCATAGTTGCCTGCTGCATGATCCCAGGAAAAGGCACATTTGGTTTAAGAACTTGCAGACAGGTCCTACATTTGCTCTTCCATGAGCTCTGAAGCACCTTTTTGTCTCCAAAAGCATAGCATAGCTCTGTTGTACAATTCCAGCTTCAGTCAAACAATGAGATCAGAAATCACACATCTGATCATACAAGAGACAAGATGGCTGACAGAATCAGAATCTGAGTGCATGTGTCCAGAGACAGCCCAAGGTCAAGAGCCAAAGAGGAAACCTGAATACAACAGCGGACAGAGACAATGTTCTAATATTGAGTGCTAGGAACCAAGGGTTTATCAGATCATTGCTCCTGATTACTTCTGATACTTTTCAGTACTTGTAATACCAGAGGTGGTGCAAATATATGTATAGGATAAAGGATCCCCATGAAGAGTTCCAACTAATTCTAAAATAAATATTTTCAGCTCCATATACATTCACAACACTTAAAAACATAATGTCTGAATATAATTCATTGCTTATTATATACTCACTATACTCCCATTATCAGGCAAAATTCTAATCTAGTCACACATTCATTCTTGTGTGCAACCTATTAAAATACTCTTTTTAAAAAAATGTAGAGTAGCCTTCCTCAATCTAATGGCTTCTAGATGGACACCACTCTGGGTGGAAGTTATGAGGGAATTACGAGAATTATGAGGACCTCAGGTTGGGAAAAGCCATTGTAACTTATAAGTTTCTTGCAAATTAATGAATTAATGAAGGTTTAATAAAAAAATTAAAAAGAAACAGAAATAATGGATGTGGATATAGTAATTGACTTGAGATTGAATCTACCACTGATATGAAATTACTTCAAGAGAACAGTTATAGTTGTGCTCAACTGAGGATTTGCTCTCAGCTGCATAGTCTGTCTACTGTAGATCTATAGTTTTAAATCTTAGGCCTGAATCTAATGAAAGATTAGGTCCAAATATAATCTGCAGTATTGGCTAACAAATACATTAATGACCCATGTATCTCAATTTAATCATGGTACTTCTCCCTACAAATAAGCTCATAAATATTTTGTTGCTTGTAGATGGAACCAACAGAACTCTCAGAAAATATTGGATTTGCTTCCAAGGTTATAGTCAGAAGGAAGTGAATTAAACTGATGGTACCTGAACATCAGGTCCCTGAAGATCTCACCAAAATAGCTATAGATAAAAATGCTCCTCAACTTTTAACTCCATCTGACTGAACAAATAAGAAATCTCTGATACTGAAATCAGAGCATAAAAAAGTAACTAGGTCAGAATGAAGCCCACAAGTTATTATTTTTTTATTACATTCTGCAGGCCTTGAAGAAAGACGATATGGCTCACTGATCCTGCTGCTGATGCTTAAAAGAGTAAGAGACAGAAAATTTCCACCCTGAGTTATTTTGTGAAAAGTCTTTTACCTGGAATGAAACCATCTGTGAGCATCATTTTCAATGGATGTAGATATAGGAAAAAGTTGACTATTCCAGGAGACTTTTCAAGATGGTATGTTGTTCAAATCAGCACACTTGGATAAATGATGCAGCTAAGGAGGTAGTGCTAATGCAAGTAAATAGCTGAAAAGTTGAATATTTGCCTACCACTTTTAAAACTTGAAATCAAGAGCTTAGCATGGATCATTTAATAGCAATAAGGAAAACCCTCTTAAAAATCTCACTCATTTGATAGGATGATAAATACTGTTGGCTTCCAAAAGTTGCAGAATACTAAAATTCATCAGAAGCATCTAAATATTCCTTTAAAAGAATTACAATCTCTATTTTGTCCAGATAATTAAAAATATGGCACAAAGCTGCCTACCTGATCATACAGCAGGATTTTTTTTGCTGCTGACTACACCCAAAAGAGGATCCATATCTGTTGAGGATACCACAGGCAAAACTGCCTTAACAAAAAGACCCACAAAAGCAGCAACACAATTTTTCATCTCAAATCCATATCTGCATAAACTATTTTGTACTAGCTGATGAAAGAAAACTGAAAAACATGAACTCCATTGAGATTCACTGTAATAACTGTGGGCAATAACTCCTTATTTAATGTACAGGAATTCATAGAATTGTATCTAGGTTGTATCCAATATAACATTAGTGAAAAAAATACAGAAGATATGTTTCTTAGTGATGATGCTTCTACTAATGGTTGTGCAAGCATAAGCAGAACTATGAATACAAAAAAAAAATCTAATTCATAATGAGTTGGGAAAACTATTATGCAACTGCTTTTACAAATAGAATCATTTTTTTTTACAGAAGGATAATAAAAGTGCAACCTTTTATCTTCAAGAATACAATTTTACAGATAAAATCCTTATGAGATGTCTTGCTCAGAATCTCCTTAAACTTCTATAAATCTATTAACCTGAAGACAGGGTGCTGTGGGAGTGGGGCATCCAGGGGTAATGGAAATGATGACAAAACATAAAATTGAGTGGATCCCAAAAAACAAATCTGTGACGTATCCTCACAAACCTCATTTGCAGGGATTCAAGTTAGCAAAGATAAGGTGACTGCATCTTCATATACAGAGTAGTCCTATTCATCAACAACAAACAAGGAATTAAACTGTGGAAGGCAGGTGGAAGCACACAGGCTTTGGCTGCTTTTAGAGTTACAGGCATACAGTATTTCTGCAAATATTTAAAGGAGTTTGTAAATTTTCAGGTCCGAGTAGCCTACCTTTTTCAGGAAGAAAAAGCAAACCTCCCAAAACTGGGCATATCATGAAATATAAGCATATTGTGAGTACCTTACCTCTGCATTCTGGGTACTACACTATCTATTAGTGTAGCATCAGCTTCAGTTGACACTGTCAGCTTCAGTTCAAAGTGCTGATTGTCATCTAGAAAACCCTCAACATGCTGGACTTGCACATTCTTGCAGGACTGCCTCCTCCAACCACAATTGACCTACATGATTCAGGTGTCTTAAGAAAGGCTGTGGGTGATAACCCCATTTTCACAAAATTCATAGTCTGGAGGCCCATAAATGTTGCTTTTCAATGGTGACACCTCCGCTATGGAATAGCTTCTGTTAGAGATCAAATCTCCCCTTCCCCCAGACATTTTTAGTCTTCTGGAATCTTTTGAAGACTGGGCTATTGCTGAAGGCTTACAGGAAATGACATGGCACTCTACTGTTTTATTCCTGTTTAAATTGTAATGTATACATTAGCTTTACATGGATGTTTTCATTTTTAAAGCTGCTATTATTTGTTCCTAGTTATTGTAATTGCAGAGAATCTTGCTAATTGCAGCAGGTATTAACTCAATAAATATAGAAATAAATCTGAAAGTTTGGAGTTAAAAGGACCTTGAAGGTCAGTGCAGGCATCTTAACAATGACAGTACGCCTAACAGATGGCTGTCCAGCCTCTGCTTAAATACTATCAGCAAGGGAGAATCCATAAATTCTCAAGGAAATCTGCTTCACTCGAAAATCTCTTTTTATCATTAAGACGTTTCTTCCAATCCTGAGCCAAAATGAGCTTCACTGCAAATTCTACCCATTTTTTACAGAAGGGAAGCAGTTTATGAACATTCAACAACACTTCTGCACAAAGTTATTTATAAGAGGAGATTTTTAAAAAATGCTGAAGAAGTGAATCCAAGATGTGTCTTTTTCAGTCAGCATTCACTTTTAATCAGTCAGATCCACCTAAGGAGTTACAGGAAGAAAACTTTCCTCCTGTTTTATTTGTGATTTTACCAGCTCAAGATCTGTAGGTTTCTCGATCAAATTTTCAGCGAATACCGCCCCCCAGTAGTGGCCCAACTTGGAAGAAATAGCTTACCAAGGTCCCCAGACACCTTTGTTTTTGTTTCGTTTATTTTAAATCTGATATCTGATCTCTGCCAGCAAAACATGCCTCTTAGAATTGCTTAACAATTAATAAAATGAGTTCTGCTTGCAAGTCTTATAAGTACTTCTACAGAGAACAACTTGATCTCTTCAATGATTTGAATTATATTGATGTATAATTAAATCCTGGATTAAATTACTGAGTTATAAATTACTGAGTTTGAATTATACTGATGTATAATAAGATCCTGGGTTAAATTACTGAGAAATGTAACTTCAATTAATGTAATAGATTTGCTGGTGCCACAGATTACAACAGAAAATTGGGAGTAAAATCAATCAGACCTGAGCCACAAGATTCCAAGGCATTTAACAAAACAAAGGGAGAAGCCATAGTTCAAACTGTTTCATGACAATATTAAGTGATTTTACTTGAAAGGTGATGAAATGAAATAAGATGGAGAAATGAAAACAAGGAAGATTTCTAAGTACGAATTTGCAAGCATCAGGCACAAGGAGATGTCTACCTCATGGAATGAGTGGGCTGTCAGGAAACCTTTATGACTTCAATCAATTTAATAAAATATATTGAAAACTAAAGCGATTTCTTGCTATTTCAATGACCCTTAATTTATTATGTATTAAAAAAACAAATCCATCATCTTCTGATATAGTTAGTCTTGATTATCTGAACAATTCCCCTACCCTCAAGTATACTGGCAATGGATGCTAAGATATAAATTAAATAAAAGGATCTTATCAGGCATGTTCTTTATGCTAACAACTCTATACTGAAGAGAATGGAGTCATAAATCAGTGGATTTGGGAAAACAGTTTTGTGCAGCCATAGAAAATAAAAACAGGGTATTAGCAAAAAAGCCATCTGTTCTAAGCCTGCAACTGAATAGCCTCTGCATAATATAGCACAAGGAACATTCTTCTGCATAATAGCTCATCCATCCTTTATGTCAGTGTTTCTCAACCTCAGCAATTTTAAGATGTGTGGATTTCACCTCCCAGAATTCCCCAGCCACCATGGCTAAGGAATTCTGGAAGTTGAGCTCCACACATCTTAAAATTGCTGAGGCTAAAAACGCTGCTTTATGTAATGTTAACTTTGTAGAATATCAGGGTCTTGGGTACGGCCTCTAGGTCGAGAAACACCAGCCTGCAGACTTTTAGAAAGAATATCATGACAATTTTATTTAGACATATTTCTAAATGAAGGACATGAAGAAACTAGATGGAAACACTGATATTTCAAAATGAATTTGCTGTCTTCTTTAAAACAAGAAGCATTACTCCTACCTCAAGTTCACCACAGTCACATTCTTCTCCCTCTTCTACATAGCCGTTCCCACACTTTGGGCCACCAAATGATTCCTTAACTTCTGGAAGGTTGAAGAGACACATCCCCACGCCTTTCTCCAAGCTGTTTTCCAAGTCTTTCTTGCTGCAGCTGCTGAACATCATGGGAAACGGGTAGCTAGGAAAAAATAGGAGACTTCTTGCTATTATCACAGAATTTAGGTGAGACAGATGCCCTAACATGCTACTCTTAGCAAACTGTATAGCATCATAATATGCTGTAATAAACAAGGCAGTAAGATAAGTTTTCCCTGTATTGGAGGTAAATGCAAGTATTTTGACAGTGGCTGATGTTAATGCTTCTTCCACAATGTATATTGTATGTACATTAATAACTATTATAAACACACATAGCTTAAGTAAAACAGATTGCATAAAATTAACCACAGAATATTTTACATATTTCTAGTAAAATAAACATGCTTAGGGATGACTAATCCTTGCTACTGTATCTCCAAGTTCTCCAACCCAAAGACAGATTTTGCAGAGTGGGAAGTTCTGGGACACAGAAGGAGTGGGAAAGGAGAAACAACAGATGAGAACCTACAGGATAGTGAAACCCAGGAAGAAGGTGGCATTAGTACTCTAATAGCAAACAATAGATCAAATGTTTGTGCTGCTTTTGCTACTGATTGTATATGAAGGACACTCGATATATGTTTTTAACATATAGAGTTTTTATGAAGTTTCTGTGTTTTTAACTCTTCATTTTTATGCTCTTGTATGGTTTCTTCAGCTTTCCATTGGATGTTTGCCAAACAGTTAATTGTGAGTGAGGCTCAAAACTGAGTTCTCTTCAGTTGAATGCCAGCTGTATCTGGAAGGTAGCAAGGACATCATGCCACTGCTATGGACACTAAACAGAATGCCAAAACACACACACACTAGCTCTTCTGGGACATTCCTTGTGATTACATTAGCTTTGAATCACAACCATCTGGCAAATAAAAAGCAAACTGTCTTATTTCCTAGGCTCTGGAACCAATTTGCTCCTCTTTCTGCATTCAACCAGCAGCTTCACGCTATAGCTGGATAGGGAGTCAGCCAGCTTAATAATCACTGGAATTTGTTCCCAAAACGTCTTACATCAATCCTCTACTATTAAGGACAGGATGAAGTCTTAAATAGATAAGGCAATAAACAAAAAATCTGCATTACTGAATGAGAAAGTGTAATGGATCATTATTTATTTCTTACAATGCAAACTGAGAAAGAGTCTGTATTCAAACTTGTCAAATAAGGGAGCATTATTAAAGGAATTAAAGAAAAAATTCATTCCTCTTTCTGTTTACAGTTCAGAAATTATTGTTAAATAAAATAGTCTCCTCCATATTGTAGGCTGGAGATCTTATTTGCATAGCATAATTTTATTTTTTGTTTAGGAAGAGCAGCATTTTCATATGCCACTGGTGGAGGTCAATACTACTTTGCTTCATTTACAGTGGCAACCTGGGCCATCTAACACACATTTCTCTTTTCATGTGCTTGTTACCAATTTTCCTCCATGATCCTCTCTCCCCAAAGTCTTTCTCTCTCCTTTCCTAGGTATCACCACTACTGCTTTCCCCATTCTTTTTTTTTAAAAAAAGATTTCAGACAAGCTGAGGAGCAAAACTACTGCTGCACTTGGCCTTTTCCTTTCTCCAGAAACCCTCTAGAAAAGGAAGAAGGGGAGAAGGCAGAACCTTGGCTGAGTTCTTAATGATCTATGTGGTGAAAATGCTGGACTGTGGGGCGCTGGACCTATGCTCAGTGATTATGCAATAGTGGCACATTCATATGTCCTGAGGTGATGTGAACATCAGAAATAAATAAGAGTAATCTGCAAACTACAAGAAATAAAATGAAAGGGGAGTAGACGCATTCAGCATGAAATGAAGACTTATGTGTCCTTCTAAATACAACTCTTGACATCAACAGTCTTTCTTAAAAAGCAAAACAATTGTGACCACATACATGACCAGGGACTGCTCAAATCAATCTCCATGACAAATTTACAATAGGTGTTTCATAATAAGTACCTCCTCCACTGCCCCATGGAGTACAGCAGAATTGTTTGGGATCTATATTTATGTAAACCAATACATTGTACTGAATAAAGTGCTTAGTTTAGGTATGGAAAATGTAGGTTGAGATTTCAGACTAGACACTGTGGGAAGCTATTTCATCTCAGTCTCACAGATGTATTTTTCAGAGTAAAAAAGAAATGAAACAATTAAATATGCATCATATTCATGACTGCATTCAGAAACCACCACTGATGCAAAATGTAGCCTTCCAGTTGCTCTCCCTGTAAATTTAAGAATCATGTTACATTCGTATCAGTCTCATTAATTTACAAGTTGTTTCTTGGCCCATTGGGTTGATACTGATATCCAGCTGGTAGCCAGTTGGAACTGGGATTGGAAGACAATAGGCTCAAACCAGGGCAAATGCCAAAAAAATTTTTTTTGAGTAATATTAAGAGCATTATAGAGAAAAAGGAAAGGTATACCAAACTACATCCCTTCAGCTTGTCAGTAACTCCATGAAATGACAATGGACAGACCTTCTGGAGTCATCTGGCAGCTGAGTGGCACTTTCCCAGGTCTTTAGGTGTATGCTGAAGTTCTAGGTATTTGAGATATTTTGTCACCCTTTATACTTTTTACAAGACAGTAAACAATAGAACACCTGGTGACAACTTGGTGGCACATCGTATCTGTGACTTGGTCACAATTTAGACTATTGACCTACTGCCATAGATATTTTTTAAGTAAGGCATTGTCTCCAGCATGCAACACGTGGAGATAGTCTGATGACACATCTTGTCAATAACTTGAGAATCCAGACAACCTTTTGTCAAAGACATTGTTTCTAGCATACTGCTACTCACCCTCCCTTCCACAGGTGTCACATTACAGAGCTCATGTCCTTCTCTTTATTTTAATTGTTACAAGTAGCAATACAGATAAAAGCCTCAAAGTGAGAGTGATTACATACAAGTTTCAAGAACCTCAAAGTGAAAGTGATTACATTTAAATTGCAATAGCTTGTTAAGTAACCCTTTCTAAGCATAGGTACAGAATGTGGAAGAATTTACAATACAATGATGTAATTTGCAAAGCTTGCTAAATAGCTCTAATCACCAGTCTGGAGGAATTGCATCTTATATATGTAGAGACATAAAAAATGGGCCACACCACTACAGCTCCTCACTAATTCTTCCACCATGACTCAAAATGCAGTTCAAAGTGCTGTTTTTAACCAATAAAGCTCTTAAATAGTTTTGAACAAGGACATCAGAAAGATTTCTACTTTACTTATGATCTTGCTTACTCATTTTAGCAATCATTGGAGGCCCTGCCATACATCTCAAAACACACTCCTCCAAATCCTTCTAAACTGGTGGAAACATGGAATAGTTTCTTCACTTCACCTGCCTCCTAGCAGATTTTTGAAAGTTGTTTGTCCCATCTTTCCTGACTGATTCCTCCCTTCTACCATGATTTTTAACAATCCAGCCTATTCCATTCCAGAGTCCTCCTAGCATTTACAGTAGTTGAGGGATTTGAAGGGGTGTAGAGACTGTAAAAGGAGAAGAAAGGAAGAGAAAGATTGTTTGTACAAGTTGCTATCCACTAGTATAGCCAGTAGAATTCAGCGTTGATCCTGCTGATTCTGCTTTAAAGAATTTTCACTCTAGTCTTTAATTCTTTTTAAGAGAAGCACATCTGAGTTTCTTTTTAATGAGCTTCTTTTAAAAAATAAAACATACCGTAGCTGACCTTTTTTTTCCCTTACAGGTCATTTTTAAGATTGGGAACATTACTTTTGATTCTTTTAAAGATTTCCTATAGTGTGCAAATGCTAGTTTGAAAGTTAAAGGAATTGCAAAATAAAATAAACAGTAACAACAAACAGTTTAAGCAATCACTTTTTCAGAAGAAAAAGAACACTTAGTAAATATTTCCATAATTAACATTCAATATTTATGACCATTTCTCCAGGCAAAGATTTCAAGGGCCCCTCAATGGGATAACAGATGTTTTGGTCTATGTTGGTGGCCACAGAGTGTCACTATTAACTGATGCTATTCTTCTGCCTTCAAAGGACCTTCAAGCTGTTTTCTATTGTGAAGAAATGGAACCATTAAATTTCTGGATTTTCCTGTTCTTGACACTGATGTTCTCATTTGTTATCAGTGTCGCATTCACTATTTACCAAAGGAAGCAGAAAGCCACTAAAAACATTTTGTCTGGAAACAAACAACCCCAAGATAAACAGGAGATGACCATGAGAAATCTGACATAGAAAAAATAGGAATGAAACTTCTGTAAATGAAGAAAGAGTGGCCTTATTTCAACTTAAGCATCTGAACTAAAAAGGAGGCAATAAGAAGCTTCAGAGCCTCACCCGAACAGAAGGGGGAAGATGTTAAAATTAGCATCATATAAGGTGAAATGCACTATTGAGCCAACCAAGCCAAGCTGCTTAACAAAGATGAATATTCAGCCCTGAGGCAATATTGAAATAACAGGCAGTTACAATATTATCAGGATTAACATCAGAAAGAAGCATTTAGACAAGTCTCCTTAGATGTAAGCCCAGATGAAGAAATGTAATCTATCTGAAGCATACAGAAAAGAGTATGACAAGTGGGTCTTTGGCCATTGTTTTTGCTAAATACCTCTAATCACCAGTCTAGAGGAACTGCATCTTACATGTGTAAAGAGAGAAAAAATGGACCACACCAACTAAGTCCCGTCTTTGACAATCTGGTGCTCTTCGAATATGTTTGACTTCAATTCCTAGAATTCACAGCGAGTGTTGTTTTTGGCCAAATCAACTGAGTATTCTCCAACATCACAATGAAAGCTGCCCTAGTATATTTTTCATTTTTCCAATTGGATGCTACATCTTGGATGCATCAAAAAATGCACACATTTTGGGTAGAACACAACATAACTGATTATTGATCTGTATATTACATTTTATATCTCATCTTTCCTCTGAGAACGTAAGGCAATGCACATGGAGATCTTCCCTCATTTTAACCCTACAACAATCTCATGAGGTGGGCTGAACTGGTCTGAAAGAAAGTGACTGGGCCAAAATCCCCCAGTGAGCTCTACAGTC